GATGCAAAGCTAAGTTTGTTCGCGGGTTCTTTATCAAATGAATCCGCTGAAGGAATGTCCACTGTGGAGGAGTTATTTTCAAAAGCTTACCAAGTTGATAGTTTCCCAAATGAAATCCTCGCGATGCTTCGAAGTGAAGTTCGCCATTCTAATAAAATTTCACTTGCCGAATGTATGGAAGATAATAATGGTCGGCTACTTTATCGAGGCGCACTCTACGTAACAAATGATAATGACCTCCGGCTGAGGCTCCTACAAGAACATCATGATAAACCATCAGCAGGCCATCCGGGTAGAGCAAAGACGTTGGAACTCTTAAGTCGGGAGTATTACTGGCCACAAATGCGAAAGTATGTTGATAGATATGTCAGGAATTGCAATGTGTGTGTCCGTAGCAAGGCACCACGCAATTCGCCTTATGGAGTACTTCGCCCAATTCCAATACCCGATGGACCATGGACGGATGTTTCGATGGATTTTGTTACTGACCTCCCTGAGAGTGATGGATATACTGCAATCCTAGTTGTTGTTGATAGACTAACCAAAATGCGACATCTGATACCAACGACTAAAGAGGTGGACTCGAAGGAAGTAGCGAGGCTGTATATCGATAATGTGTGGAAGCTACATGGACTACCTGATACTGTCGTGTCCGATAGAGGAACACAATTTGTCCCGGAATTTTGGAAGTCGCTTTGCAAACGCCTGGAAATATCCCCACGATTCTCCACCGCCTTCCACCCTCAAACTGATGGACAAACTGAAAGGATCAATGCCGTAATGGAACAGTACCTTCGAAGTTATGTCTCTTATCAACAAGATGATTGGGCCCGACTATTGGCCATGGCTGAGTTTGCAGCAAATAATCATGTTTCGGAATCAACAAAGGTCTCTCCTTTCTACGCCAACTCGGGAAGAAATCTCAGGATGACTTTCGGACCCTTGGAATATGGTAGAACAACGGTGGAAGATCAGGCCAACAGTATTGCAAGGGAAATGAAGGATATGGTGGAATTTCTGAAAAGCGAAATGTTCCGAGCGCAAAAGATCCAAGAAGAATCGGCCAACCTGAATCATTCTCCCGCCCCTCGTTATAATATAGGGGATAAAGTTTTCTTATCGACCCGCCATGTTTTGACAAAGCGACCCTCCAAGAAATTCGATTGGAAACGTATTGGACCTTACAGTATTAAGCGACTTGTCAACCCCTACGCCTATGAATTAGAACTTCCCCATTCTATGAGGATCCATCTAGTATTCCACGTTTCATTATTGTCGCCGGAAGCAGGCAATCCGTTACCTGGACAACAGCAGTCACCACCACCTCCGGTTGAGATCGAAGGAGAAGAAGAATGGGAAGTCGAGGATATTTTGGATTCTAGGAAACGAAGGGGAAGATTTGAGTATTTGGTACAATATAGAGGGTATGACGATGCCTCCTGGCAACCGCTATCGGACCTTGAGCATTCACCTAAAATTGTTCGACGCTTCCATGAACGTTATCCACGGAAGCCTAAGCCTACCAGGAGGTAGGCCTTAGAGGGGGGCGTAGTCTGTAACGGCAATATTGTATTCTGGCTAGGGTGATGGATTGGATCGTGAAGAGGAAGTATTGCGCAGTTGGACTACGATTTGTAATGGAGTTTCTGTTATGTTCCTTCGGTTTCCATTACGCGGAGTATTCGTCATCAATGGACTAGGGGTTGGGTATATAAGGGAGCGTTGTCTCGTGCCTGTTCATGTTTCTCTTCCTTTCCTTTTCTCCTCACGGAACCTCTTGTATTTACTCTACGAATACTACTTTGTTCTACGTCTCGTCATAGGGTTCGACTGGTTAGTCATACCAGGTAGAGCCACCCCATCGCCCATAGTCTCGAATACCTCTTTACTACGTTCTTGCCTCGGTTGTATTCCTTGGCACTATAGTTCCTACGCCCATAGACCCCCGTTACAGGTTGGGATTCTTGGAGAACCTTTGTAGAGGAGGGTGATATGCCTGTCGGAGAGGAACGATATGACCCAGTTGATGATGTATGGGGGGGTAGCTTTGGCCGTGAGGGTGGCGGCAAGGGTGTGTTTGACAACATTATCGAAGCCTCCTTTGATGTCGAGGAATAGCGTGGAGACCTTCAGCTTGGCGTGTTGCATAGCTTTGGTCTCATGGATGAGGGTGGTTACTGCATCTGCTGTCGATAGGCCAGCCACCGATTCGCATTGATGGGGGTGGATGAGGCCTACCACTTTGGCGATGGATGCGAGGCGGAGGGTGACGATCTTTTCGAGGATCTTGGAGAAAGTTTGGAGGAGGACAATTATTCTGTAGGAGGTGGGGAGGGTGTAGTTGGCTTTGTTTGGTTTTGCCAGAATAACTCCATTTGCCCTTTTGAGTGAGAGGGGGTGGTAACCACTTTTTAGGAGTGGGTTGAGGAGCGCGGGGATGATGTGTGGGTTGGCCTTATGGACCCCTTTCCATACTGAGTAGGGGATGGTATCTGTTCCAGGGGCTGATAGGTTGGTGTTGGGGAGGAGGGTGGTTCTTACTTCCTCGGGGGTGATGCCTGGGACGTGAGCGAAGTTGAGGGGGGGTAGAGCTAGTGTCAGGTCTGGGCGGGAAGAATGCCAGTGCTTTGACGAGGTTCTGGTTCAGTAGTGCAGGGGTGGGGGAGTTGGGGAGGGATGGGACTCTGTCTTCCGATCTTGTTGCCATTTTTTTGAGTTTCCAGACGTCGCTGGTGGCTGCATTGGACACAAAGGAGTTCCAGTGTGTGGGTTTGCATGTTTAATTGCGTTGAAGTAGGCGTTTTTCGCCGCTTTGACTTCGAAAGGGGGACTGAGGCCTCTTCTGAAGTCGCGATGGACGGAGTGGTAGATTGTGCGGAGTTCAGTGATGTTGGGGTTCCACCAAGATTTCGACCATTTGGTGACTGTTTTGGAGGGGATGTGGCTCTTTAGGGTATCCGTAAGCATCTGCAAAGATTGTTCAAACCAGGCATCGAGGCTTGGTGAAACGTTGGGGCTGGGAACTATGAAGTTCTGGAGGGAGGGTTGGAGGTTCGGCCAGTGTGTGAGTTTCCAGTTGGGGCCAATGATGGGAGTGAAGTCAGTGTTAGGGAGGGTGAAGGTAATGGCGATGGCCCTGTGATCGGAGCCGGTGGCCTCTGGAAGGGTTTGCCATCTGCTGAATAGGGAGAGAGCTCTTGCATTGGCGAAGGCGAGTGTAGCGGGGGTCTATGGGCGTAGGGACTATAGTGCCAAGGAATACAACCGAGGCGAAGACGTAGCAGTAGGTATTCAAGACTATGGACTATGGGGCGGCTCTACCTGGTGTGACAAACCAGTGAACCCTATGGCGAGACGTGAAATAAACGTAGTATTCGTAGAGTAGGTACAAAAGGTTGCGTGAAGAGAAAAGGAAAGAAAGGGAAACATGAAAAGGCACGAGGCAATGCCCCCTTATATACTCAACTCCTAGTCCGTTGATGACTAATACCCCGCGTAACGGAAACCGAAAGAACATAACAGAACCCTCATTACAAATCCTAGTTCAACTGCATAATACCTTCTCTTCACGATCCAATCTATCGCCTTTAGTCGGGTTATGATATTGCCGCTACAGCGAGGTCAATTACTCCGTGCCTTTTTCGGGGGTCCGGGGAATGCCGGGTATATGTGCCTGGGTAATTTAAGAGTGAGAAGTTGTTGGTTGTGGCGGAGTGGGTGTATGGTCCTGAGAGGCGTAGCTCCCCGTCGGAGAAGTTCCTCGTAGGGTCTACTGCGGGGGAGTGGATATTGAAGTCGCCTACAACGATAAGGGGGTTGGGGGTGTGGGTGAAGATTTCGGTCGGATTAATCGATCTCGAAGAGTTGGATAACTGTCTGTTATAGATGTTGGTTATCATGAGGGTGGAGTGGGAGTTTGAGGAGGTTGGTAGGAACCTTAACCCGTCAATTGCTGACCCCAGTGATATTATAGGGGTTGAATTTGTATGGGAGATCTATTATTTGATAAGCAAGATAAGAAGATCTGTTAGCAAAGCCACACCAAATTTGCTTTTTTTTTGGTGGGTCAGCACTTTGGTGACAGTTTAAGGGATAAGAATACGAGTTTCCTGTCCGGACCATATCCTTATAGCGAGAGTCTACTGTACGGGGATTAGACGCGAGGTTAGCCGAATTAGGCGCCCTAAGGATACGTAACGCTAAGCGACTCTATGTATGTAGGTACATGTAGGTACTTCTACAGGTGTCTGGATCACGGGCACCTCTCCAGTCTTTTGTCTCTCTCGTATTCGTATCGTAGACGAAGAAGAGATACTTGTACCAACAGCCGGCCAACAACCCTAAGGTCCCTATCTAACCTCTAACTAAGGACCCTTGCTTGGACTTTGACCTCTTTATCTTGATCCTAGCCACGGAACTCAAACTGGAACAAAACATAAACGCTCACCAGCCTTCCAGCGAGGGCAAAGAATGAATCTATGTGCATCTATTAATAGCACCCCACATTGACATCCATCAAAAAGCTACATACGGGCGACGAAAGGAATGAGGCTCTTTCCAAACAGAAGGGGGGAAAGTGAGTAGATATGTAGGGAGAAAGGATCGGGGTTTTTACATGCACCTTCCTTCCCCAGATTTTCTTTCGGCAGATTGCTTTTTCTGTGACGTGCGTGTGTGTGTTTGAGTGAGCAGGGGTGGCGGCTGTGGCGTAGCTGTAACGTCATCTGCCAGCCAGCTGCGTGTCCAAGAATCGGTTTAATTGACAGGTCAGGAGAAGACCGACAGGATCGATAGGAGAGGACAGGGCAGAGACAGGAGAGAGAGAGGGGGGAACTTTTCGAGACATATATCTACAAGAGGAGAGCAGTGTGTATATCTGCAATCCAATTCACCATTCTGGTACCCTAATAGGACATCACGAACAGTACGACTGATATCGATCTAACGCAATATTCACCACTCCCCACCACCACCACCTCCACACCTCCAACAGTGGCACCATGGCAGCCCTCCACGACGCTCTCAAAACCCTCTCACCCACCACCGTCTCCGCTCTCCCCACACCCGACACCCTTCCCGGCTACATCACCAACGCCCTCCGCGATACTTACACACTCATCAACTCCCTGCCCCCGTCCGACACCGACACCGACACCCCTGCCTCTCCCCTCCAAAAGGAATGGAAGCCCTTCAAGCTCAACGCAAAAGATAACCCGCACAACTTCAGCGTCTACAAGCTCGCTGCAAAGGACGGAAAAGGCACCTGGTTCGCCCGGCGCAGTGTACACTCGCAGCTGGGCTTTCGGCGGTTCCGTGCGGGGCTCGTGAGGGAGTTTGAGTTGGGTGCTGAGAGGGGGAGTAGTGTTCGTGGCGTGGGGAGGGAACGGCAGATTGAGAGGGGGAAGTGTGCGTTGGGGCAATCAGAGAGTATGGCCCACAACCACAACTCAATATCTATATTCTATAGCTGAAGCCACATTGCTAACTAACCCTAACCCACAATAGTAAACTACCTCACCGCACAATTCCCCGGCCCCTCTGCGCCTCGAGACTTTGTAACATCAACCATCACATCCTCTGCGCACCCGCAGGACCTGTCCCCGCTATCCGATGACGCCCCTCCTGCCCCCGCCCCCAACGACGGTTCACCAAAGCCTCGACAGTTTACGATGATCTCGAGGCCGCTCACGGACCATCCTGAGTGTGCGGAGCGTCAGGGCTATGTCCGCGGCCAGTTTGAGAGCGTCGAGTTCATAAGGGAGATTCCGTCTGTGTGTGCCCCGCCCGTGCAGCCCCGTCTGGTACGCCGCTCGGAGGAGCTGCGTAGGGTCCAGAGTGTGCCGAGTGTGGCGACATTGCAGGAGGATGAGGAAGGGGAGGGGGAGCGTAGGGGGAGGAGACGGGGGAGGACTATCACGTTTGCGGATACCGAGAGTGTGCCAGAAGGGCAGCAGCAGCCAGGTTTGGAACATCCCTCGGGATTGTATAGACTAGTTAAACTAACAGGTAAATTTACAGTAGTAGATGAAGGACCGCATCCGGAGCAGAACCCCGTCGAGTGGATCATGATCACGCGGTCGGACCCGGGCGGGAGTGTTCCGCGGTGGATGGTTGAGCGCGGGACGCCCGGCGGGATCGTGAAGGACGCTGATAAGTTCCTTGAGTGGGCGGCAGCACAGACGGACTTGGAAGACGGCTATCCAGAGGACGAAGAGTCCGAAGAGATGGCCGAGGGAAGCAGGGTCGGCGGTGACAGGGGCGGCGGGGGAGAATCACAAGTCCACGGCCAAGAGCTCTATGACGCCTCGAAGCGTGAGCCCGAGCATCCACCGGAAACCTCAGACAGCAACGTCACCCCACAAGGTCACGAAGACCAGTCCCACGGCGGCCTCCTCTCATCAGCAGTTTCCGCCGTCTCAGCAGGTGTATCAATGCTCACCCCCTCCGTCATGAGCACCTCCACCACCACCTCTGAACACGGCACCCCTACCGCCTCTACCACTACACACAACGACCTCCCCACCCCTCCTAGTACCACCCCCGGCGCCACTACCCCCTCCCACTCAGACGACGACGCTGTCTCCATTGCTAGCTTTGCCACCGCACCCTCCCCCGACGACACCACATCCGTTACATCCGTCTCCGCCTCCACCTCCGCCCCCTCCACCCCCGAAGATAAAGCCCTCGCGCGCCTACTGCGCGAAAAAGCAAAGCTCTGCGAAAAGCTAGAGCGCCAACGCTCACGCGAGCGAAAGAAACGCAGTAAGGACGAGGAGAGGGAGCAGAAGCTGCTGGAGAAGCATATGAAGGAGATAGAGAAGCGGGAGGCGCGGTATCAGAAGGATGTGGAGAAGGCGAGGAAGAGAGAGGAGAAGAAGAGGTCGAAGGAGATGAAAGAGGTTGTGGAGTTGAAGAGCGTTGTTGAGGGGTTGACGAAGGAGAATCTGGCGTTGAGGGAGCGGGTGGATGTGTTAGAGGCGAGAGAGAAAGAGAGGGAGAGGGAGGCGCAGAGGCATGCGGAGGAGGCAGCGGGCGCGGTGGGGGTGGAGTAGTGTGTTTGTGTGGTTGTATTTGTAGTAGGATATCCTTTCCCCCCTCTGCATTGTTAGTTTTTATTTTTGGTTTTTGGTTTGTTTTCGTTTTTCGTTTTTGGTCTTTGTGGCGGCGTGGTTTTCTGCGGAGCGGAATGTACACATGGCATGAGAGTCCGCAAGCGGGGTTAACGCACGATATTACCACGATATACGAGAATATACGACAGCGAGCAGGTGTTTGAGCATGATTTTTTGTTTTCGTCTGGCTTTTTTTGTAAAGTAGTAACTTCGGCAGCGAAGAATACATACATACCTGGTGTGCGAGTGATCTTTCATGACTCAGTCACCTTACAAGTAACTGTGACCTGCGACGTGGTCTCGGGCATGTGACTTCACACGAGGGCCGCGCGGAGGGAATGCGCCTGCGAAGGCAGTCTTTCAAAGACACCACTCTATACGGTTCATCATGTACTAAGCTAGGACTCTAGCCCAAGAGCAAAGGCTTCATCACGGTCTTGGTCCCCGCAGAGCGAGGTCATAGTATGCAAATATTTAAGAGGCAAGATATATAGAGTGAGGAGTATATAGGTGTGAGAGCTCCAGGACACCCCCGGGAGCGTGATTTTCGAGCTTATTTTATAGGAATTGCGGGAACAGGAATCCATACTGGCAATAGATATCAACATACGTGTTGCCTTAATCTTCAAGTTCCTAATTCTCTATTCGAAGTACTCTGCGTCTTTGACAGCGTTGCTTCAACGTATCCGTAATTCCATCAACGTAAAACCCCTCCGGGCGGCCATAGAGGGCAATTTACAGCCCATTACAAGGGGTGAGAAATTTGACCTTCAAAATTTCAAGTTGGAAAGCGGGCATGACCAACACACTCTGTTGCGACTGATAAGACTATAGTAACCTAATGATTTTAACGTAGTGGAACACCTTCTTGAGTCATAAGCTTTTATACAGAGCTACATAGGCTTCGGTATCATGTTTTATAAACAAGAACCGACAATCATTGACCCTGTCGTTCTCAGTCATAGAATGTTGAAAATTGGGCATCCCAGCCGCTCTGCCCATCGTATCGCCCAGTTAATACTGCAGTGGGTGGCATGTGGGAATCCTTGGTATATACTGAACTCAATCTATTTTTTTCCCGCCAACCTCTGTCTCAGGTTTGGGTTATGTGGTGTTAGTTTTGGTTGAGGTAGAGGCGTGGGGTGTTGGTGGTGAGTACTGGAGTTGGGCGTTGAGGGTGCAACAACGGGTCTGTAAAGTATTTATAATATGCCAGGTCTAGGAAATACCGAGATATATTAGCCCGTCCCTTTCCTGGTGTTGAATTATTTGCCATACTAATCTATTCTACACATCCAGACGTAATTGTTGTTGTAATTTGGCAACTCCTACGCGTACGGCCAGTAACACCTAATCGTAAACGACAACTTCATCCTACTGTCAAAATCTCACGCGTCAAGGTTTGCACATGTGAACTTGGAATTGCACATGATGAATCATGTTTTATATCACTTCTGGAGGTCACATGGAACAAAAACATTGCTCGGTAAACATATAAAATATAACGAAAGACAATAATAATAATCCTTACAAAGCTGACTGATACTTTGCCCTCCCCCACTAGGATACTTTCTCCACACCGCCACTAATAGCATCTATCAACATTCAGGGAGTTTCGCTATCAACCATGTTTAGTACTCGACCACCTACCAGGGAAACGTAAAGACAGTTAGAACTTACATCTGCATGATTCCTCAACAAGCGTCTCGGAAACATATTCACCCTTACTAGTTTTGTCCCAGTATCTATCAACGGAGTGTATCGAATCAGCACGCTGGGTTCATGACTACTAAAGAGAAGGGTCAAAATTGCGTACGGGTTGCCTTTCACTGTCTCTCCTACGACATAGCACATAAATTTTATCATTGTTCCCTTCGCGTACGATCCCGTGGCGGGGCATTTCGTATCGTTGACTTCTGGGCACTTGCGATGACGAGCTCCGTCCGCGGTGATTTTGCATGTTCGCGGTTCTTGGTTCGATGCTGAACCTTGTCCTTGTGGGACGGGGTTGGCGAGAATGAAGGAGAAGAGGGAGAGGAAGGAGAAGAAGGTAAAGAGGAATTTCATTGTTTTTTACTGGGGTAGTTGCTAGTATACTTGCGGGTGATTGTTGAGAGTTATGATGATGATGGCGAGGAAGATCGTGGGAAAACCGAGGTGAATAGAAGCAGTATTTATACTTGAATTGTGATAACATGACTTACACGATTGAGAAATTATATTGAATTTGCAAGTTTGTGCTTAAGGTTGGTCCCCGCTATGAGTGATCTCATGTGCGTTCTCTGTACAGCTAGCTGTTCGTGTTTTACTAGAGCTCATCGTTGCACTTTCACTGCTGGAGGCTGGTCACAGTCCTATCATATTAGGCCCCTAATTAGCGGCGGGCTATTGAAAGACCTCGTATTCAAAAGGGCATTTATTCGAACCTAAATACTCAATAGACTTTCAGCGTTCGTGCTTCAAAGAGGCTAGTAGTCATGTATCCCTTAAATGTGATAACGAGACCGCCGGGATCCTAGATGAACATTCAATGAAGGACAAAGACAACCAATTGGAATCAACCCGGGAGTGGAAACTAGGTAGCTGTGGCGTTGCAATAACGTTATTTCGACGCCCATGTTTCACGTCTATCTTTATCCCCCAATAAATCTCTTCAGTGGCGTAAGGCAACTACAGCAGATGATCGTGCTGTTTGATCGTTCCCAGCTGGTTGTCCCCAAGCCGTCTTCTCTATCCAGTCAATGATCGATCTTGCATGCGGGAATATGCAAATTGGCATCCGGAACCCTGACAACCTCGAACAACAGCGCTGATATGGCCTCATATCTTCCTTCGCCTCTACGTAAGGTCTTTAATCTCACATTAACCTTCGCAGAAGGTCATGTGGAAATAATAGTTTTTATTGATCGATACCTGGATTCGGTAATTCTTTCCGAAAGTTTTGCTTGGGCTCAAACTACATAACCCTAGAGATCGCAGTGTGTAAAGTAAGTACATACAAGTACAGTACCGTATTTCTTCGGATAAGGCAGCACTCTTTAAAAGTGCATGCATAAAAGTGTACATAAATAGATTATCAATCTCAACGAGGGCAAACCGGAAACACAACGTATCCTTGTTGACTCAATCTACACTCATAAGTTGCACTTGTGTCTACTTCAGTTCATCAGCTGGGCGTCCAGGCGAGAGAGGCTTTTGAAGACATTCCCAACTTCCACACAAAACCCGCTTTTTCGAAGTTGATGTACTCGCATATCAAGTATGTATTTGCGCAACCAGCAAAACACACACAGAATCCAGAGAGCTTTCCCATCTCCCCTGAAATTATGTGTCTTCTATCTAGACACCTGAAAGACTCTACAGGCCACTTTTAGGCCATATCTACAAAGAACAAGCCCTGAAGGTGAAATATGTCTAAAAGGGTCCTTTTATGGCACCTTTACCAGTATCTCAATTGGGCCAGGAATTTGAAGCATGGACCTCCTTTATCAAAATTATACTATACCTGGTCGCTGATATCTTGGTTTAGGTGTGGGGCTTTTTATGAGTTGTTGAAAACCTCGATTTTTGGTATGTTTTGCTGGTTGGGCAAATACATAATTGACGTGCGAGTACCCCCATCCTAAAGAACGATATTGTGTCATAGTCAGAGTTCCGAAAGGCTAGTGTATTCAAACGTTCCAGGGAATCAAGAGCCTAGCTACCACGCAACTCGCGAGCAATATCTCACAAGAGCCTACCACCAAACTTTCCGACCAACGTACTGGAAGTCCCAAGCACTCGAGCTTTCTAACTTCACTCAGGTGCCCGCTCAGGTATTCTACCCAAGTATCTACCTCCTGCGGAGACCGGTGTCCATCCCCTACCATCCAAGGTTCACATACCTTGGCACACGTTAGAGTCGCAACTCTCTAGACCCGGTGTAGCTAACGATACCTCATCGATCTCTAATATATCGGTAATCACAACCCTCCAATGCCTCATGGTAAGCACAAGAATACCTGCTTCCTGTGTGTATAGAGTACATACGTCAACGTGTAACCTCATCGAGATCCCAGCTAGGGTCAGGTTTTAATTATCTCGAGTCAGGGCTAGGGGTATTTCTCAATTAACCGGCTGATATCGATCCCCGTTGATCTTTTAATTTTACCGGCCAATGAAATTTAGCTAGACAACCTACCTACTACGACCACCGCACCTGGTGGTACACTTACTAACTATATGTATCCTTGCTCCTACTCTAGCTACCATGCATAGACACCAGATCCATTTGAGGATAGGTTGTTTTGGTGCAAGTTTTTAGGCAAAACGCCCTTCCCGTCAATTGGCTGATCTTGGCTGCTGTTAGGCCATTGTCTTGTGGTTTTTACTGGCGTATGTATCATTGACCCTAACTCCCGGACTATCCATCATTCTGGAGATTTGGTTATTGAATGACTTCGGAAATGGTTTTCGTTCACTAAGAGCATTTGAATTCGATAGTCAGGCATCAAGTATCTCTATTATTTACAACCTTTACAGACGTTTCTCCGTTCTCAATACAAGGCATCATCAAGCCGCCACCCAAGACAAAAATACCACTCGTAACAGAAAGAGAGTTAAAAAAAAAAAAGAAGAAAAGAAGAAAAAAAAGAAAGAAGTATCGCTCATAAAAAACAGTAAGACATTATCCACCATCTAGCTCCCGCAGCAGCTATCTCTTACACCTCGTTTCCGCCCTTCTCGTCGACAATCACCACCCTCTTCTCCAAACTCTTCTTGACAGGGTTGGGCGACTCGAAGATCTCGGTGAGCTGTTCCAAAGTGTGGCCCGAGGTCTCAACGAACCATTTCCAGATGACGAAAACCTCAAAGCAGTTCCAGCCCACAAACACCAGGTAGTACCTCCATCCAATCTTCTCCATGGCGACGGGCGCGGCAAAGGTGTTGACACACATGGC